GCAGTCTGAGAAGGGGAGAAAAAGTAATTTTCTTGTAAAAGGAATATTTTCCCTTAAAAGGAAAACAGTTGTAATCCAAAACATTTTAATTTGCTTTTAGAATGTAGACCAAACTCCTGCAGCTGATCTTTTTCCAAGTCTGCCTAAAGTAAAACTCTCAGGGACAGAAGAGCTCAGGACTGGGAGACAGGGCAGCTGGCCTCTAGGGTTCCTGTTTATCACAGCATGGGCCACTTTCTGGAGTCACCCTGTTCCTTTGCTGGCCTCTGCTTATTGCCCATGCCCTCTCTCTAGAAGGCAAGGTCACGGAGAGCCTGGGGGCGGGGTTTGTCTTTTTTGGTTATAAGTGTGACAGTGGCTGACACACATGTGGAACATATTCATATATTTTGTTGAAAATCCAACAGATTCAGACAACATGGAGCACACTGCCTGTACTCCCTGTCTTCAGAGAACCTAGACACCCATGAGTGTGCACCGAGAACGTGCTCTGCATTGTAGGACCTGGGATTCAAAGGGGTGTGAGACAGAAGCAGCCCTTGCAAGGGACAGTCAGCCCCAGGGGACAGCCAAGCTTCCCTTACTGTCTTTCTGAGAGAGGGCTGATAGGAGCTCTGGACGCAGTGAGAACCAGACATGGTGCCTGGCAGGCCCTGCAGAGACTGATCCACGGAGGGAGGCTGCACCCAGGCTGGAGGGTGGAGAAGGCGAGCCACCCCCCCCCCCCGAACCCAGGGGAGGCCTTGCAGGCTGGGAAAGGTACCTTTCACCTGCAGCAAGGTGGGGAAGAAGGTAGGCAGATGGAAGAAGCATTCTTTGGGGTGAGCTGAACAATTCTCTGGCTGGGTGCAGTGGCGCACATCTGTAATCTTAGTGGCTTGGGAGGCTGAGGTAGGAGGATCACAAGTTCAAAGCCAGCCTCAGCAACTTCGAAAGACCCTGTCTCAAAATAAGCAAACAAACAAGCAAGCAAGCAAACAAACAAAACAGCCCTCTGAGAACTCTTCATGCCCGCATAGGAATGGCAGGAAGACCACCCTCCCTCCTGTGGGTGGGAGTCTGTGTGGCTGGGGCAGAGGGCTGGTCTCTGTGCAGAGTCAGAGAAGAGGTGGGAGCCTGAGCTCAGGCTTGGACCAGTGAAGAAGAAGCCGGGGAGGTGAGAACAGAAACCAGAGGGGGCAGGAATGGTAACACGACAGCTGGACAGGGTAGGTGACCCTGACTCTTCAGTTTGGGGTTGAGCTGTTGGGTGGTGTGAGGTAGGAGATGAGGGAGGGGTGGCCACACCCAGAGGAAAAAGCATCAGCAGTGAGCACCTATGTGTTCTGAGCGGTGGGAGTCTCAGCCATGTGGCCCCTGCTTCTCACGCTGCAGGCAGCGGAGCTGGCAGTGAGTTGCAGCTGAGCATCCACCGTGGGACCTTTTCAGTGTGGCCAGTGTGCCTGTATCAGGGAGAAGATCACCTGGGGGACGCCCCCAGGCTGGAGGGGCAGGATGAGGCTGCATTCCTGGAGCCCACCAGAATGTGGGCATGGAGAGAAGCCGCAGTGGTGGGGGTCAGAGCAGAGCTTTGTAAGTCGGGGAGTACCTCTCACCCCATGTGTAAGGCCTGCTGTGGGAGGGTCTGGAGCTCGTGGTGCTGTGTGACTGATGCTCTCAGAGGCTGATCCTGGCTGTCGTTTGGTGACTACTGTAGGGGCTGTTGTGGAAATAGCATGAGAAGCCACTGCAGTAGTCAAGCCAGGAGATGACAAAGGTGACTTGGACTGGGGTTTGAGGCCAGAAATGAAATGCAGTGAGGGCGCAGAAGGCACTCAGAGGCAGCAGGTGGATTGGACACGTGGAGGAAGGGGGGGACTCCAGAGTGGGATCACAGTGGGTCGCGGGTGGAGCTGCCCCTGGGCGGGAGGTCTGCAGCAGCAGCACGGGGCGGGGCTGGGATCAGGCTCCCTTTGGCAGTGGCATCCTGGAGTGCCTACGCCACAGCATGCTGGAGACGTTAGGAAGGCTGCTGGACAATTTGGGAATCAGAGGCTGATCCCAACTGGAGGTACTTAGAGCCAGCGAGTATGTAGATAGGTCATGTGAACTCTGAGCAGGTTTTGAGGGAAACACAGGCGCTGGTTGTTGAACAGTGCCTTGGTTCGAGCAGTGGAAGTGCTCCATAGAAGTTTGATGGGTGAAAGTGGTGACCCTTTGGAGACAGTGAATTGCCACCCCTGAGGCAGTAGCTGAAGCCACTGTTGGGGGTGCAAATGGGAAATGAACAGAGGCAGTGGGAAGAGGGCAGAGGACAGACGTGACGGGAAGAAAGAGCACTGGGATGATCTGAGCAGGAGCCATCTAAACAGAGGAGGAGACATGGAACAGAACAGCCCACGGAGCTCAAGGGAGGAACCTCAGGATGGAAGAGACCAGGTGCCCCAGAGACCAGGTGAGTCCAGCATCTAGCATGCCATCAGCGGTCGAGCTGGCAAGATGACGGAAGCCCGCTGCAGTGGGGCGAGAGTTGGTGGCAATGAACGTATCCTAGGGCAGATTTCATCCTGAGGGAAGCCAAGCTGGGAGTTGGCCTCAGAGCTGCCAGCACATGAGTACTGGCTACCTCCCTGGGGAGGCTTCACTTGAGAAGGTTCATTTGCTAAAGAAAAGGAAGCTGAAGAAGTAGCTGAGAGCGGATGGAACAGCCCCTTAAAGAAGCCAGGAGGAATGGGGTGCTGTGCACCCTCAAGAGCTTAATGAAAACTATCCCCTGAGGGAACTGGGGAGAGTGGTGTGGATGCTGATACCCTGTTATTAGTGGGCTGGGGTGGGCACCAAGTCTACAGTGTCTCAGCAGACACTTTCTGCCCATTTCCCTTGAGGGCAGCACCGTGGTCGTCTGAGAGTTGGCTGTTACAGGAGGCAGGCACAGAGAGGCTTGCAGTGGGGGTTTTGGGGGGTGGGAGTGAGCTGCCCACTTGGGAGGGGTGGGCTAATGACCCCCAATTAGAGCAAACATACAAACTCTCTGCATTTGAAGAATAGAAGGAGCCAAAAAGACACGTACTTTGAAGCTCTCAGATTCACGTCCTGGTGAAGAGTGACCAGCAGGATAGCCCTGGAGAGGTGTCTCGAGGGAGGAAGGGTTTGTGCAGTGATGAGAGGATGATTCCAGAGGGAAGAGAGGAGCTGGGCAGACACAGAGGATTCAGGACAGGTGAACTGGGACGGCCGTGTGGCGCGGGGCTCTGGACAGCAGTGAAGAGGGCAGGACACAGAGGGTCTGGCAGTCAGGCACCAGGGTCTGTCTTCCTGGGAAGGCTGTGCCATGCTTTATGCAGAGGGAAGGGGTAGGCGCCAAAGGCACGTGATGCACAGATGTCTATTGCCTACAGTGCCTTACTTACTGTCTCCTTGGTGGCAGTAAATGTCATGAGACCTGTCCCTGACTTTTAAGGAGTTTCTGTCTGATGAGGGGTCCAGGCAGGTCAAAGTGACAAGGGTATGTCTTGAGGCTTGACCTTGGGTAGAGGAGTGCATAGTTGGGACGGGCACATCTTGGTGACACCCCACTGCCCCGAGGGTGCTGCCAGGTCCTGAACGTGTCCCTGGTCCCACCTCTCGTTTTCCTCAGTGTGTTTCATGCACCACCCTGCCTGAGGTTGGTGAACTTCTGCCCCAGGTCACTCTGTCTCCGCTGACGGGAGCCTTCTCTGGCTGGGTGGGCAGCTGCCTGTCCTGTCCCCTGGAATCCCAACCTTCTCTGAGGCTTCCTGGTCCTCTCACATGTTGCAGTGTCACCTGGTACTGCCAGTTGTCCGCTGGGTGTCTCCCCCCCCACCCCAGCCTGTGTGTGTGCCTTGAGGGCAGGAGTGGGTTTTGTTCAACTTCTGAATCACAGAACCTAGCACACTGCCACCGCAAGAAGTCCAGTGAAGGAATACGAAGGTGTCTAAGTGGCGGAATATGAGTGAAATGGTCCTTTAAAATATTCATTTTCTTAAAAGGAAAGAAGTAATGAAACAATGTGATCGTAGGATTTTGCTGGCATAACTTGAAACTTCATTTGATTCATTATTTTTTTTTCATGTAGTCTAAATACACTCTTTGGCACCGGTGCCTGGGCTTCTGCGTCACTGGGAACACAGTACTTCACACGCAGTGAGGTCAGCAGGGAGCGGCCGCCGGAGCCCAGGGAAGGAGGGAGGTGTGTGCTGGGCTTTGGGGGAGCTTCAGCTTTCTTTCCTGAGGCCATGAGAAGAAACTGTTACTTGGACGAAAACATTTGCTTCATAGCAGAGAGCAGTTTGCTTGTAAAGTGCTAAAATAATGCTATATGTTCGGATATATTATATATATAAAAATGCAAGCATGTTTAATTTTATTTTTGCTACTGGGGATTGAACTCAAGGGCACTCAACCACTGAGCCACATCCCCGGCCCTGTTTTATTTAGAGACAGGGTCTCATGGAGTTGCTGAGCTCCTTGCTGTTGCTGAGGCTGACATTGAACTCAAGATTCTCCTGTCTCAGCCTCTGGAGCCGCTGGGATTATAGGCGTGTGCTACTGTGCTTGACAAAAAATGCAAGCATATTCGGCTTTCTTAAAAAAATATTTTTCATTGCAGATAGATACAATACCTTTATTTATTTATTTTTATGCGGTGCCGAGGATTGAACTCAGTGCCTCACGTGTACTTGGCTAGCGCTCTACCTTTGAGCTATAACCCAGTCCGTATTTGACTTTTTATAGTGAGCAAGTATGGTGTAAGAATCAGTTTTGCATAAAGAAAAATTTCCTTCGGTGAAAAGAGGAGCAGGTAACTTGCAGAACTGCAGGCTGGGGTGGGGTACAGGGGGTGCAGAGGGGGAGAGAGCAGCATGCTTGTGTGGAAGGCAGGTAGTGCTTATTTGTCTGTAATGCAGTTTTTATGCTTTTGCAATGTTGTTTTAGCAGACTTTAGAAAGAAAACTAAAATGACGTCTGAAAGGGCCCGACGGTATGGTTCCCTGGATCTGGGAAATGTGTACTTCCAGATGTTGTTTTTGTCCTGGGATCAGAAGTTCACTTTCAGAAACATTTGTGTCTAGTCAGTCATCATGTCTTTTGGGGATAATACTCTGCTTCTTGTGATTAACACGTCATTTAGTTTTTTAAGACAGATGAAAACCTCAGTGATTCCAACAGTGTGGTGCTGGCAGGTGAATGAAAGGGTGGACAGCTGATGCAGAATAGAAGAGCCGGAAAGCAGACACACATAGGAGTCCAGGATCCGTGAAAGGGTCATCTCGGGTGCAAGGAGGAAAGGAAGATGGTGGAGAAGACTATTTGGTAAAGAGTGGGCATCTGACCAAAAAAAAACATAAAATGGGATCCTTCTGCTGTATCCAGGATGCATTTCAAATGGATCGTATATTTAAATATAATAAAAGGAAACCATAAAAAGAAAAAAAAGGAAATTCCTTTCCAGCCTTGGAATGGGAAACACCTTTTTAAATGTGACTCAAAATCCAAGGTAATCTACATTAAGGAAACAAAACAACACATCTTCACATGGCCTTAGACAGGACCAGGGAGGTCCAGAGCAATTCTGGAGAGCCCCAGACAGCGGCTCCGCTGCCTTTCTGGCCCTCTCTCCATTCCTGAGGTGTTTGAAGCTCAAGCAGCATCAAATTGCTAGCGGTTCTTGAACTTGGAGAAAACATGTTCTGCTCCTATCACAGCAGAGTAATGACCCTCTTGATATAGAAGAGCTCCCAGAAATTGTTAAGAAAGACAGCACCCACAGGTAGTTCAAGAATGTGAGCAGAGTGCATGGAAAAAGAGAAGTAAATGACTCTTTAGAAAATAAGAAGACGTGCCACTTTATTTCTGATAAGATAAATGTGGTTTTAAATAACACTAAGTACCTTTTTCACCTGCCAGGTTTATAAAATTAATAAACTTTGAAACACACAGTTGGTAACTTCAGGAAGAGGCCAGCACTCCTGTGTTCCCTGGGGGAGTATCGAGGGATACAGCCCTTGAAGAGGGTAGTTTTGCAGTATTGATCATTATGAAAAATGCATGTATGCATTGAACCAATAATTTTACATCTGGGAATACATACTCACACAAAGGCAAAATGACTTAACAAGGTATCACATAGTGCATTATCGTTTGAAGTAGAACATCCGAAACAACTTATAGTCTACCAGGCTCTGCCTGGTTGAGTAACATTTCAACAGTAAAAATGAATACGCCAAAGATGCATTGGTACACTAAAAACACAGGGTGTAACACCCACACATACTGAACTCACACACATCACACACACACACTTTTGTGTTAGAAAGGACAATAAATGCACAAAGAAACTAGGAAGACACACAGGAAACTCTTAATGACCCTGGGCAGTGTAGGGTGCCAGAGGAGGGACAAGGCATGGGTGCATGGGGAGTGAGAGTTATAGGGGGACTTTTCAAAGAGTATTTTCTGGTTTTTTGACTTTTGGATAATATTACTTATTTCCCTATACAGAAATTACACTTAAAAATAAGCAAGAATTTGCCAAAATGCCACTTGTTTAATCGTGCGTTCCTTTACTTAGTTGTTGATGGAGTTTTGTTGTTTTTTCTTGTCTTCTATTGAGATCACAGCTTTGTCAGATTCTAAAGTTTGTTCAGTTGACTTCTGCCTTCCTCTAGCCTCCCACTTACTTCTCCTACACAAGATCCCAAATGTCAAGCTATGAATGTTAAAAAAATCACACGCATCACTACCCCTCGGAGTTATCAGCTCCTTTTCTACGTCATGCACATATTTGCGAATGGAAAAAAAATCCCTTCTATTTAATGTAATTTCTGACTCTGCTTGTCGATAGCTTCAGAGTTAAGATATGAACTATTGTTTAAATGGTTGGAGAGCTGCCCAGCCAGATTCATCTGGCAGAAATAACTACATTTTGGCAAGAAACCGAACGTCTTCGCTGAGGGAACATGAGCTGTACGTTCGAGCCTTCTCAAGTGAGTGGAAACACACTTCCAGCGCTGTCACCACTCAATGACACGGGGCTCCTGGACATAGGCTATCCCCACATGACAGCCATGTGATTATTAGTTTAGAGCAGGGGCGGCGGGAACTGATGACCTGTGTCCTTGGCAAACCTGGTGGAGCTGAGCGGGAGCCGCTGTCCCCGAGGTGCTGGCCGTCAGGAGCACCTGCCCAGAGAGCCCTCTGTGCAGCGCAGGGTGGAGCATGGACTAGGCAGAGGTTCCCGTTGGATCTCTCTCCGGCCTCTGCGGTGGGTTTGGAGGGAGTGCTGTTGCTGTGTCTGTCTGAGCGGCTTCTTCCTCCCCGTTAGCTTCTCTCCTCGGCCTCCATGTCAGCCCTGCTCATGTTCCTATGTCTCCCTAATAATGTTGACCTTTTCTTGGTCTTATCACTTAATATAATTTCCTCCTAGTCCACCCTGGGTCTTATTTTAACTGCAGCTTCCTTGTAGTCCCTGGGTTTGTGAGGACCCTGTCCTAGCCTTTGCAGTTGCCTCTTGGGCCTCTGCTGTCTTCTCCTGTGGACCTCACGGGTTCCTGCTGGGCTCAGGGCAGCTGGTCCTTGATGCATCGTCCAGGTCTGGGAGGCGGGGCCCTGTCCCCCTGCCCAGGCCGGCCTCCTTCTCTGGGCCGTTCTTCTGTTGCAGCTGTCTCTAGCATGGGGCCGGGGCCTGGCCGGGGAGAGGGTGGCCTCTCAGCCCTTCATCTTCACAGTGCCCTGGGCCCTTGAGGCTGGCAGGCCCAGGGAGTGTCTTTGTGGTAGAGGTTACGCTTTATGCATAATATCAGTGCCCTCGTTTGCTACCTTCCTCATCAGATCTGACTATATCGGAGAGTTCTGGCACCTTCTCTGTTTCACAACTGTTCTATTCTTTTTGTCAAATGGGCCATCATTAGGAAATCTGTCAATTTTTTTCCAAGTGATGTTTTAAATCTTCTTTTTGTGTGTGTTGGTACACTTTTAAATGTATCCTGGCCAACTCTTTTGAGATTCAGAGTTGGTATGACTTCTGATAGCTGGGTCACAGCTGGTGGGAAGGCCCACATAAGCTAAGAGGGCGAAGTGTTCAGCGCCAGGTTTGGAGGGTTCCAGCACTTTCCGAGTTCCCTGGCAGAGCGCTGGGCTCGTGTGCAGGGAGACCCGCTTGCTCTCATTCATTTTTTTCCTGTTGCTGCCGACGCATGGCTGGTCCTGGGCACTGTTTACCCTGTGCTCTGTGCCTGGGTGGACGGTCTGGGGAGGGTGGGCAGTCTGGGGAGGGTGGGCAGTCTGTGCCTGGGTGGGCGGTCTGGGGAGGGTGGGCAGTCTGGCGGTGGAAACATGGACACACATCTGCTGAGCCCACGTCAAGGGAGCCTGTGGCGCAGCCGAGCGGCAGCAGCCTTGCCATCGCCAGCTTTCCCCGAGGAGAAAGGAGGTGACGCGGAGTGGACCTGGCGTTCACTGGGAGCCTGCAGCAGAGGAAGCAGGGACTCACCAGCTGGTCATTTCCTTGGGCTCCCAGCGGCCCCACCAGTGTCTCTTCTGAAATGGTGGCCTGGAGCCTCCCTGATGTCTGGGGGGTGGGGTGGTGGAGGGAGCCTGGGGAAGGGGAGAGCGGAGCTGCCTGGGGCTCCTGAGGCCAGGAAAGGTGTTCTTTGCAGTGCAGGAAGCACAGCTTCTGGGAGACTGCGGGCAGGAAAAGCCAGTATCCAGCAGCTCCACTTTCCTGGCAAGGAATGAAAGGAAAATGTGTTGAAATAAAAGGGAAGGATTTTTAGAAAGAGAACGAATTGGAAAAAAGTGATCGCCATTAGAACTCTTCCATTTAGGGAAGCCCACTGGAAAAGTCTGGAATAGTCTGGAATAGATCCCCTTCCCGGAACCTCTCCACCTCAGAGGGGCCCGCTGCCCTCTCCTCCTGCCCTCTTCGTGTCAGCATGCCCCCCACTCCAAGCAGGTATTTCTGGAGGGCCTTCTGTGTGTGGTAAGGGAAAGCTGGGTGGCCTCCGACCCGTGGGCCTGGTCAAGGACACCTTCGACTGCCCTGTCCCTCTCTGGACCATCTCCAGTGGGCACTTTTGCTTGTACTGTTTTGTATGTATGAGGTTTCCCCTCGTAACTGGCTATTGCTTCGTTCAGAATTTTGTGGATTTTTGGTCTATAATACTAGTGATCTTAGTCCTATCAGTAATACAGTTTTTTTTTTTTTGAAATGTAATTCATTCTAAGAAGAAAAGTTGAGGATGTGCCTATAAGCAATTATCTCAAGAGTAAGTTTTGAGAAGGCTACATTTTAAACTCCTCTAAAAACATTCTACATCTGGTTTGCATTTATGCGAAACAAAGTTATCAATAAATGATATTGTTTTGATTTAAAGCTATAAATTATTAGAAGAATTACATTTGTCTGTTACAGTATTTTCGAATTTTTTTTGACCCCACGGAATGGATGTGTGTCCTTAAAAAGTTACCGATTGGCTTGTTTTCCAGTAGGCGATTTCTCATAAATACCAAGAGAAGTTTCAAGTAGATACCACCTGCTCAGCCTTGGCTGAGGCTCCTCCTGCCCTGGGTGCTGCAGAGGGCACATGGTGGGAATTGTGTCCTGACAATTGGCTTCCTCTTCCTCGGTCTGCTTGGCAGCGTGAGCTGAGACTTGCTGACCACCTCCCATGACCAGTGGAGTGCCCCATGGGAATCCCCTGTTGAATGACGGGTCACAGGAAGCATGGCCCCGCGGCGGGGAGGCCTCTGTGTGGAGGAGAGCTGGCCTCAAGTTTCAGTGGTTCCCTTTCTCAGGGCTCCAGCTTCCCGCTCTGCAGAGTGGGTGTCCTGACAGTGTTAGTTTTCCTCCAGTACTTTTGTCTTCCAGAGAAGAAAATCACAGACTTGTTTTAAGTCATAATACTTTGAAATTTTCTTAAACTGAAAAAAATGTTCCCTCTGAATTACATATGAGAGGCTTGCTTTCCGTAATATAAAAAGAAGAAATGCAGGGCAGTGTTCAGAAATCCTTAAAATGTTGCTCTTCTTTTTTAAGCGTTTGTGGCCCTTAGGAAGAGCTCTATAAATGCGTGTCTTGCTCCCCAGGTGGGGACGACCTTTGCCCTCCGTGGCTGAGGCTGCCTGGGCTGGCCCTCTCTGTGCCAGTGGCCCACTTTCCCGAGGAGGCTTGGTGTGGTCCTATTTGGGGATCCGACCCGCAGCTGCACTGGCTGGTGACCTTGCTCTCTCTGCTGGTTTCCCACCTCATGTGAGGAAGCCAGCCTCAGGCAGAAGACATGAGGCCGTCCACAGTCGTTAGGCAGTGTGTGGTGACATTAGTTAGTGTTTAAGAAGCCACCAGTGCAGGTTACACCAGACTTAAATGCGGATGCATCTGTGTGGCCTGGCCAGCCTCTGAGGTTGTTCTCTGAATCACTTTGTTTTCATTGAGAAAGATTTCTGTGAGCTCCAGTGTCTTAGCCTGGGTGATGTGAGGACAGGTCACTTCATCTGGGAGGTGCCAGGAGGGACCGAGTGAAGCAGGAGTCACAGGCCCTAGGGGAACCCTGCAGGAGGGGAGCCATGAACATTGCCCATGGGGCAGTAAGGGCTGGGTCTGGCAGGACCCTCCCTGGGGACAGGGCAGCAGTGCTCCGTGCTTCCTGGTGCTTTTTGCTGGCAGGCCCGGTGGGCGTCACGGCCTGGCCAGCAGGGTGGACAGCAGGCAGTGGGGCCGGGTGTGCCCTGCGGCGGGATGCTGACTCCCTCAGCTGAGCTGGCCTTGGGAGGGACAGGTCGTCATCACTGGCACAGACCCCGGAAGAGGGCCAAGTGGAGGTGGCACCAAGCGCCAGAGCTCTTGCTCCTGACGGAACTCCAGAGCAGACGACACCATTTTCTTCCTCCCACTTGTGGAGTCTGAGGCATGTGACTCTTTAAAAGCCTTCATTAATTCTAAAATTTTTCTTGAGGACTTTATAATCCAAACAATTGCACTTCTTATTACATCTAAGGTTTTGAGACAGAATTATACTTAACGGAGGCAAGGCCTACTTCACTATCGATGAAAGGCTGATTTATATTCTGAATGCTGTTAGGCAAGAAAATTCACATTGGAAAAAGGGTTTTTGCCAAAGAATTTGGAGAAAGAAAAGGTTTTCTGATAAATCCTCAATTAGTGAGAATGTTCAATTGAACTAGAACATTCTATGCAGAGAGCACTCAAATTATCAAGGATTTCCACTGTTTTGATGCTTCTAGTCTTCAGCTTTTAAAAGCAATTATTCTAGACCTTGCATTGAAACCACAAGGGGAGTGTAGCTGTCCTTATGAGTCTGGCACAGATGGGATTTGGCTTAGTAAAATGTCTTTATGGCTGCATTTTTCTGGATCAGAAAATTATATAAAGCAAATGATTAAATTATTGTAATGGTTACCATATAGACTATTTTAAAATAAATACTGAAATAGCATATTTTATCAAAGCAAATATGTGCAATTATTGTCTCAGGACAGGGCTAGCTTTCCTGTGGGGTCCAGGTAGTGTCTTAGGCTCTGGGGGCCTTGTGTCTTCTGTGGCCTGCCACTGTATCAGGAGCACAGACAGTGCAGAGACAAATGACTCGTTAGGTGTGTTTCCACAAAATTGTACCAGAACAGCCACGGGCTGGCCCCTCCCTGGGTTAGAACACATTGTTTTTAACAGACACAGATTTCTCCCTTGGGGACTTTGGGGAGCCACTGTATGTCAGTGGAAAGAGGTCCCATCACCAAGGTCACCCAGTCTGGGATGTGGGCCCAGCCAACCACTGTGACGTCAGCCCTCTTGTCCAGGTGCCACCTTGTATGGGGCACAGTGCTCTGCCCCACATTAACTTCCCTGGGGAGCCAGAAGGGCCACATTTCGATGAAACAGGAATTGTAGGTTTTCACATAGGATTTATGTCACTGATTTTCATGGTTCTTAGAGTTTTATGGTCCTGAGTCTCTGTTTACAGACAGAAAG